GCCATAAAACCCCATTAATTCCACATCAGTGCTCGAATATTATAACTTAAAGTAACTCTGTTGCGCTATGTGGCAGCAATTAGAACGAAGTCGTTACGATTGTCATCATGCAGAACTGATTGCCGCATTCAGGCGCTTATAATAGCAAAACGGCTTCACGCACAATTTGTGAGGATAATTGTAATAATCGTCTACCCAGTGATGCGCATTAATTCGTTTCAGGGAGGAACCGCCATGCAAATAGATCATTGGCAGTAAACGTTTGTTGCCAGCAAAAGCAAAATTAATTTCATGTAGCATTCTTTCAGCACGTGTTCATTCGTCGTCGAAAGTATGACACTGATGTTGTAAGCATGCTGGGCTCATACATGTTCTTTCACTAGCCTATTAGGAATTTGAAACATTTAGTTGTTTGAAAGAAAAGACATCACACGATGTAGAATTTTATCAGCAGTAGCTCATCAGTGCTTCGTGCCACATTGCGATGTGATTCTGAAAGACTCGCCAACTTGAAACTAGACCGAGGCAGCGCCTCAGTCATTGCGGCGAACCGATGGTCCTTGACACTGTCATTTAAGATGATTCGTGATCTGATTCCGCTGCCTTACCGCAGCATTGAATGAGCACAAGAATTGTGATCCGGATTGGCCAAACTCGCGATATCATGTCGGTCCGTCGAACATAAAGCCTCATAAAACTTACGTGACGGTCCCGACCGACGCTGATCATGCCATCGTGCGTACCCACCCAGCTTCGGTAAAATGCTCAAAATCGAAGGTGTTCGCTCGTTAACTGTGTTTGTAACCCGAGAGAAACATCACTCTGAATTGCAATATCAACTCCCACTGATGTGTGACGTACACAAACCAGATGCGAACTGGAATCCCATCCAAGGTTGTTTGTCCTCCTAGCCTGACGCTCCGGTATAGTGGGTGGATATGTATAAATTCGACTAGTCTAGTTAAAACGAGAAGGACGGTCCCACTCGGATGTCAGTAACATCACCTGAGTATTGATCGTGAGTGCTAGTGGGTGGTAAACGCTCGAGATGGAGACAAGCGCTACTTGAAGTACACGAGAATCGCCCCATCTTGCCTGACGCACGCGGTTCCGTGAGAGAAACAGTGACTAGGAAAAATTTGCAACTGATTCACCCCCAAGTCACATCGCTACACCGAGCACCTTGAAGAGCAACTCAGCCATCACATCCCTACTCTTCGTTAAGTGACTGGATGTCACAATTCTTAAGAATAATGTCGGCGTTTCTACATTCGAAGACTGTGTTTAATCCCGCTGATAGCACCTGTTCGCAGCAGTGTCTATTTTTGGGGAGCGTACTTGTTCTCCATTCTAGGATTTCATTACCACAACTCCCGGCGCATACGGGAAACTCACCTCCGGATTTCCCACAAGTAGCGCTTCAGAGTAACCATAACTCCCAATTTTCTTCAACTTTGTGATTTGTCTGCTACCGATAACTGTAGCCAAACCGCTAACTTGTCTGCACTGATGTCACCTCGATGGGTGACAAAACCTCTTCGAGTAAACTGCCCCTCTCAGCGAACCACTCAACAACTTAACGACCAATCCGGGATACCAGTATTTCGAGTTACATCGAACTTTGTCTACCTGAATAAAACCCAGAGATCACCAGTAAATGACTGACCAGGGCGTGAAGAAGTTCGGCCGCTGGCCGAAAGGACGACGCGTCTGTCTTGCAACCCGGATGTCACTGGTTAGAGCCCGTGTAGTGGACCGGGCAATTAACGCAGTATTCTTAGCCCAAGCGCGACTGGTAGTAACAGCGAAGCATTGCTGCAGCGTACCAGAGCACTATTGATGGCTTCTGGGTCAAGTCGGTGCCTATCGTCTCGCCGGACCAGGTCTTCGGGATTAACCACATCGCTGGAAGGACGCAGAGTCGGTGGCGTTTTATAAATAAAGTAAGTAAATAAAGGTTTTATTCCTCGACGGTGCGAGGCACAATCCAACTGATTTCACATCCTTGGATATTCCATCTGGTGAATTCGATTCTTGTTCACTCTTGAATAACTTTTATTACTGTGACATGTATCGAAGTAACTGGATCTATCGCGCATCAGCGCGGCAAAGATGTTCCAGGATAGCGCGAAAAAATATACGCGAACTTATCAGCAGCAAATTCTGTGCCCGATGTTCAGATCTCCGCTGCTGCCGGCTTAGGCGTTTTGACAGCATTTCAGCCAGCGTACAACCACTTGAGGTTGAGTGACAGCGAAACATCGGCACAGGTTACTCTGCGATTCAAAAATATTTTTCCAGCATTAAAATCGTGAAAGATCCAGCATGTAAGCATCTATCAGCAATACAGCATCAATTATGGTCGCAGAATATCCTGACGATTGACCACCGGCGGCCAGGTGGCGAATTCGAACACAGTTTAATCAGACCATGTTTCAGAGTGTAGAGCGGAACAGCTCCGTGATCATAAGGCAAAAATCTGTTGTCGAAAGCAGAAGTTAAAAGAGAGGACTCATTAGATGATGTCGGAAGGGGCAACGCAGCGCAGCTTTTGCACATCAAAAGAAATGGAACGCTGAGAGAAGCGCAAAATGTAAGCCGGAAAAACGGAAGGTAGTGAAACGCCATGATTATGGAATCTGGGCATTGTCTAAACAACCGGAAGGGAGATAAAGATTGAATTTAATCAATCCCTGTCATCCATGAGTGAAGAAAAGACGTACAATATGTCTGATGCGATGGGACCACACCCCGCAATCTAACAGACTCGCACCTCCAATGCTGCAGACCGCGCCTATACAAAACCGGAGCTGTTCCCTCAGTTTTCCCGCCATTCAATCGGCAAATTGTGTTTGACCGCTAATGTGCACACGACTGCACCTGCGTTTGTCGCACGCGCAATAGCATACGGAGCCATTGATTTCGCTCTTCCTTTTGATGTGTGGGCAGGTGCGATGGCCCCGCGTGCAATGGTGCGTGCGACAAACGTAGTTACAGTAGTGTGCACGTTAGCGGTCAAACACAATTTGCCGACTGAATGGCTGGAAAACAGAGGGAACTGCCCGAGTTTTGTTGAGGCTGCAATGGAGGTGCGGGTCTGCTGCATTACGGAGTGTGGTCCAATCATATTGGACGTACTGTACAATACCCAAACAGTTGAAAATATACCAAGAAAAACCGATCTCGGTTGAAATATTGGAAATCACAAACTAAATAATAGGAAGCATAGAAACTATGGCTACAGCTAAACAAGTATGATCCCACGGCTAAAGTCAGACGGATCCGGCGCGGTGATTACAATAAATAACGACATTGGGCTTGTCGAATGCAAAGGGAGTTGGAAAAATGTTGACAAAGTGAATTATATATATATATATATATCTGTTGACAAAGTGCCCACCTGTCTATTATCCACTACCTCGTAAATACTGGCTCTAAGAGACAGTTGGTCGTCGCTGGAGGGGACGGGGTGCGCGGTCCTTGTGGCCGTGCTAGGCTCAAAGAGTGGTTCCATGCACTCGATGTGGAGCAGACTACGGTCCAGCCACCGCGTTGTGTGCGCTTGATTCCGAAATACAGCCTGCTTGTGTTTGCCTGTTAAGGAGTGTGAGCCGGCTCCGTTGATGAAACATGGCTCCCATCAACATGTCTCCCGATCCTATCCCTTCGGGTTTACACTGGATATGGGGTGTGTGGTTGGAGCTGTGCGTGGTGCAGCGCGCAAGCCACCCATGGTCTCTCTGTAGGCGCTGGCGTCCTGTGGCTGGCCACAGTGACAGGCAAATCCGAAATCGGATGCCGCCAATCACATATATATTTTCGGTGCAAACTAAATCAGTGCATGACAATGAAATGGGTACGACTCATCGAACCGCCTGGTGTCGAAACGTCTGAAACCGAATCGCTTAACTAATTGAACGAATCAACATCTAAATGCATGAGACATGCCAAATGATGTAAGTTATGCATCTAAAAAAATAGGATGTGGCGGGGCGGCCAGGTGGTTTACAAAAGTCAGCCAGCTAACCGACAAGGTAATATCTACACTGCGGAAGCATGTTGACCGGAATGATTGGTTTTTGACCACCTGACGTCATTTTGATCTTGTGTGTCACTAAATTAATGACCACTCTACAAAAACACCATTATTTTATGACGTGGGGCCGGTAGCCTAAAAAGATTACGCGCTTGCCTCATAATTCGCAGATCACCAGTTCGAATCACTGTGGTTGCAAGGGACCTCGTGGTTTACGCAGCCCTCATGCGACTGGTGATGTTCGCGGCGGTTCGTTGTGCCGGCGTATGCCTGTCTGATCCCCGGCCTTCCTTTGCTCAATAAGTTATGCTCCTGCGCAACATTATTGAACCTTTCAACAATGAAACGACGTGTACCACACGTGAAAGTGATCAATCCGGAATTCACTGATATGGCAGGCGTTTTGGAAATGCAGACCGAAGTTAGGCAGGTAGGAGCGGTTGTGAATATTCTTTATCGAACTGTAACATCTTTGATGAGTAAAGTTACAACGAACTAAAGCACACCCTCGAGAAGATCACAAAAATGATTCAAGATCTGCATGGAGTTCAACCAAGTTAAAAAAAACTTCAAAATTTATAAAGCACGTCACGGGGGTGAATAGACGGGGAACACGCTTCATCATCAGGTAAGAGCAGCGGGGTGAAAAAGTAGAAACCGAGAAAATTTGTCTTTTGACAAGCGGTTATTCGGTTGGGAACGCCTCATGCATCAGTACTGCGGAGTTCAAAAAAGAAAGATAGTGGTGAGATACTATGCTCTGGTCTACATTGGAATGGGAAATCTGGTTGGTTGGCACCACATTTCGTTTTAGAATTAGCGTCTTGAGAAATGAACAGTCGGTGAAATATTAACACAAGGGTGGGAGATGAAGCTTCATGGAGACCAATGTCGCTGCTCTCCATAGGCAGAGGGATAGGTGGTCCTGCAGGGTACACTGAAGAGTAATCCAGGTGCATAAGTTTCACTGGGCCCAGTCCAGGAGGTCCTTGAGATCCCTGTCAAGCGCTGAAAAGCGAAGTACAAGAGTGGAGCGCGAATGTAAGTTGTTCCAAAGAGCGCGGTTGTCCGGATGAAAATCATGAGAAACATATTTAGTGCACATCTGTGCAGCTTACTGTCATGCGCACATGTGGCGGTAATACAAGTCGACTCGTGTTCCCCATGCATAAATGAGTAAATACTATCACCCGATGTATGCACAAAAAGAAACCGAACTTTTACGATAACATCTTTATTGCTCATTGTACACCAATTTAAGCACAGTCCCGTTCAAAGTAGTCTCCCCTACTGGCAATACACCGTTAACAGTAGTGCTTCTACTTTTGGAAAGCCCGGAACGCACTTTCTGGGATAGCATTGTCCCGAATCTCCTCCACGGTTTGGAAACGACTTCCGCTCAGCGTGGTTTTAAGTTTTTGAACCAGGAAGAAATTTGCCGGGGCTAGGTACGGAGAATACGTTGGATGGGGTACAACAAGAGTTTGATGTTTTGCTAGACAGCTGCAGAAAAGGGGCGATGTCTGAGCCGACACATTGTCATGGTGCAACATCCAAATCTGTATTTTTTTCACAGTCCAAGCCTCTTCCTGCGCACAGCATGCTTTAAACGCACTAGAATTCCCTGGCAGTCTTCCTTGTTTACCATCTGACCACGTGGTACCAATTCCTGATGGACAGTGCAACCAACGTCACCTTGACCTTCACTTGACTTGTGCGTGCTGTTTTGGAGGAGGAGGAGGAGACTTTCTTCAACAACTGCACCTTCGTTTCGATATCAGAGCCATAAACCCACGTCTCATTGCCTGTTCCTAATGAAGTCTCCATTGTCAATGGTAGTGGAAAGCAGTTCCTGGCTGATTTCAACATGCACGTTATCCTTCAAGCTCTTTTATTGCCACTTGCTTGTACACATGCTCACTTCAGTGGCCGTAGCTCACCAACTAACAATCAGAACGGAATGTGGTAGATGGCATTTTGTTGTCCAAACAATCCCCTACGTGCGCTCAACAGTCGCAGCACGTTCCCTCTAACGGTCGGCTCGCTATTTCAAAAGTTCGTTTTCTTTTCGAACACAGTAGTGCTTTTTATTAGCCATTGAAATAAGGATACAACGGCAAAAGTGGAATTCACAGTATTCAAGAGAGGATACTGTATCAGGACAGAGAAAAATTGCAAAGTCACACTTTCGCGACATCCAATAATTCAGCTAATTCATCATCGCCACTCTCAATCAGCAGGCTTAGGCTAGTTTGGAAAAGAACCAGACGCCGGCGTTTCGACCTTATGGGGATAGTCAGTGGTGCGCCTCCCAGCAGACCTCTGCCGGGTTCAGCCCTCATGACTTCAGTATGCCAGCAGCTAGTGCCACTGCTGATTGGGAGTGGCGATGATGAATTAGCTGAATTATGCCAAAATCCTCACTACTCAACAGTACTGTAAAATCTGTGCGTATAGCTGCTAAGTCCTATGCGGTGCATTGACGCTATGCGGAAAGTCCTAGCTCGTGGGACTAGTCATTGTCCTCTGCACAGTTCGTAACTGGCATGGCAGTGAAAGATGAGCCGGGCTATATCATAGTCAACTGTCAATCACGCAGGTCTGTGGCTATCACCCATGGCGAAGTGGCACTAGCTGCTGGCATCCTGAATTCATGGGGGCGGAACCCGGTAGGGGTCCGCTGGGAGGCGCACCACTGACGATCCGCATAAGGTCGAAACGCCGGCGTCTGGTGCTTTTCAAGACTAGCCTAAGCCTGCTGATTGGAGGTAGCGATGATGAATTAGCTGAATTATGCCAAAATCCTCACTACTCATCAGTACTATACAATAAGTTCGGAATTGTTTTACCGTCGAGACACGATCTCTGCTTTCACTCCAGTGAACGAACAGAGATGGTTAACAACAGTCATCGGGAGATATGGACAGTAGAAAAACGGAGTATCCGCTGTGTGACACTTTCTTGTAACGCGTCTGTGATTAAATCACACGGACCAAATCGGCCTCGTTAGCGTTGTATTGATACACATCGGAAGCAAACACGATTGCTGGTAGAGCGCGCCCAACACCTGGATGGACTAGGTTAGCTACGATGAGCGCGATGTAGCGCGCTAGAAAATGTACACTTATGATTGACCTTAAGTTACATGTAGGCAGTATCATGTTGTGCACGGGTCAGTAGGGACCAGCTGCGCCGTGGGTTCGGACGCGACTGTTATAAACAATAAATATTACTTATGAGTAGAAGAATTTTGGTTAGTATCTTTGTGTTCGTCGTAAGCAGCCGACAATTCAGATAAGTCAACTGCCTCTGTGGAAAGGCACAAGACGGCCGTTTCGCTCTATTAGGGCTCGTTAGTGGTGTACATCCTTCGGTCTTCCACGGAGGATCCAACCCATGACTGCTAGTGGCTTGTGCCAACTAGCAGCAGCTAATACCACTGAGTAATGGCTTTTATTCTCGACAAGGCGAGGCACGCCTTTACAGGCATGATCATTTTGGGTTAACAGTGTTGTGATTCAAAAGAACACGAGACCATAGGTGAACAATTGTTTTCGATGATTCTCTTCAGACCATTACAATCATATTTAAGGGTAAAATAATGAACTGAAATCAACTCATTGGATCAAGTTACATAGTTAATTAACGGATCAGTGAGGGAGGCTAAAAGTTGACCATTGATCTGACAGGTCGATTGCATGTTATCGAGCTTGATCTGTGGCAATCGACCTCAGTATCGTTCGTTCTAGCTGGCCAGGGAAGCTGTAAGGCATGGAGTAACTTCTTTTGCGAGCATAATGAAGGTTGAAACAACCGAATGCAAATCGATTCAGCTGTCGCGAGCGCACGGAGGCGCAAACCTCTTGATTGATGCTGGGGGACCCTGTAAATTATCCTGAAGGCACGCTTTAGGTCGACTTGGTGCCCCGTGTCGACAATATGGGCCAAAACGGCGCTGCTAATGGCCCCAGTTCCTCCTTGACGCAACCAGCGCGGGCAGTGCTCCTTCACACGTTTGGACAAGTGCCGTGCCGTTCGGCCAATATAAGTAGCGTCACAAACGCATTTGAACTGATAAAGAACCATAGATGAGGTCAGCAATGGCAGAGTATCCTTATTGCGTGAACAAACAAGTGGTTCAGTAGAAAATGTGCACTTTAACCTGGCTGCTGGGAACGTCGACTTGACTACCGCTGAAAGACTTTTGGTTAGGCGCTCGGCAGCGGCATCCCTCTTAAAAGGTATTCTTAAAAATAACTCCGCCGCGGTTAAAACTGGTACCGGCTTGGGCTTTTCTTCAAAATTCTTTGAAACAAATCTATCAGGGTAGCCATTCTCGCGCAGCGTATTCTTTATAAAGGCTAGTTCCTCATCCAGGGTGTCCTGCGAGCAAATTCTACGTGCTCTTGTGGTAAGGCAGTGGATTAAGTTTCGCTTATATCTCAGTGGGACGAAACTGTAAAAATTCGTGTACTGACCAATCCACGTATTTTTCCTGTAGACTTTCCGCTGGATGGAGCCGTCTGGCCTCCTAGTTAACAAGACATCTAGATATGGAAGCCGATTGCAAGTTTCTGCCTCGTACGTAAATTGCAATGCTGCGTGAGCCCGGTTAAAACGATCGAGAACGTCATCCAGATTTATGCCTTTATCTGCCACTATAAATATATCATCCATATAACGATGATAGTAATCAAAAGATTTTATCTCCGCTTGTAATTTTGTTCGCTCCAAGTTGGCCAATTTGGTTGTGATTACTGTGCTACGGTCTCTACACGTTAGCGATATAGCACATGTTGCAACTAAACCAATGTGAAGGAGCAGCAGAGGAAAGTGTAAACCTCCTGGAAGGCCGATATAAAGTTTAAAGGTAATTAGATGCGGTATCTATTAGAATCTATGATTTTTTCCATTTCAGTGCGGATGAAAAAGAAGAAAAAATAGGAATGGCTCACTCTTATCAGAAACTTTGGACGTGGACGGATGCGGGACCTCTTGACTTGGGACACTTGGGAGATTAGACACTGCGCCTACATCCAACAGCTGTTTCTCAAGGTCCTCGGCCTGAAAATGGAACATAACATAAACTAGTTTGGCGTAAGCATTTCACAGTCAAAGCGTTTAAATGTGAAAGTAGGAAGTTAACTATAGGCATTCGAGGTAACAGACTAGCATCTCTACAGGCCCCCAACTGATACAACTAGATGGGTCCTATTAAGATCGCCCATTCTAACCGCACAAGGAAACAGTCAGATCACGCCTGATTGACTTTAAATCGGAATTAACCGCCGCCATCGGATAAACTGGCTTAGTCTGTGTTGTAGCAACGGGAATAGAATTATGTAAGAAGGGGCGAGAAAAAAATATATAAATGACAACGCTAAGTTATAGGGCTGTCAAGAAGCCATGGAAACCGAAGGAAAGTGATGGACGCAACGGTCACGAAAGGGAGATGAAGCATATCGTTGCTTCTGCTCCGCTCCGATAGTTCCTCCTTTTTCTTTGCTCTTTTTAAGAATTGGAGCATCAACCACCTCAATCTAGACAATCATGTGCATAAAGCTTCCACTGACTTCAGCTACGCGCCATATCACCAAGTGTTTCAAGCCATCGTCTTTGGGTCTCCAAACCAGGTAGAAGTATGAATTCAACGGCGACTAGATGTGAAGTTGGTGATTTCATACGCTGTCGCTAGATGAACGATTGATCACCACGTGGCCTATTCCATCCTAATCCTGCAGGAGCGAACAATGCTCGAGTTGGTGAACGTTTAGATGACACACAGGACGTGACCGAGCCACCTCAAATGGCGTTACGAAACTAGCTTATTGAAGGGAATACACACATTTCCTAATACAACATATCCAACTTTATCGCTGCAGACACGTTATTACCACCGCACACGAGCTGCCCTCCTCAAGTACCCATTAGCGAAAGTCGAAAGCCGGCGTAAGTCATCCACGAGAATTGACCACGGATCGTTTCGACATAACAACACCGCTCGAACGGATGTGTTTTAAACCAGGTTTTTTTTACAGAAGGGGAGACACCTCGACGACATAAGAAGTGTTTCGAGTTGACAAACCCCGACCGAGCTTTGGCGATAGAAAGAGAAAATTTCTTTCCAACAGTTCCATCAGCAGACACGCAGCTTTCCAGGTAGACAAACCTATCTACCTGTTTATCTGTGTATCTTCAGTGAGCGGGGAAACAGAGAAGCGCTAATTCAGAAGCAACATTTTACGCTTCTAGTGCGCGAAGCAAATACCGTACCTGATCAGTTCAATCGCCGTACGGTCCAGAGTGAGTTGTCTATTCCGCGAGTCGTCATCAAGTTAAGTGATATCAACAATATAGTCAGAATTAGTCGCGCGCCCACCTGATAAATCTATAGACAAAAATTTTGGGAACGTTCCAGAGCCCTAGACAGGATACAAATTGCAAAATCGAAGACATGCGGCAACCCTATGGCGTACCGCTACTGACAGAGACATATGTCGCGGAAGATTGCAGTACACCTTTCTGACACTGTTTTTTGGCAATCAACGTCACAATTAATGCCGATCAAATGAATACGGCCCGGATTTAGAGATAGACGATGATTGCAGGTCTACGGTGAACGTGCTCATGCGGTTGGCAAAATGTGGCAATTTGGTCCACGCATCTACGGCCGGGATGGAAACCAATTAATTCCTCATTCTTCGCTACCGCGTGACCACCATCAGCTGCACGGGTGCTAGGGACGGCGCAGGTTCGAAGCAAGGACATATGGAATCACTGGCCGAGGAACCCTTTGATGCTTCTCTATGCTCTATATACGACACAAGACGGCGGGAATGATGCATTGAGAACGTAGTCGGATAATGGCTTGATGTGTTAAATTAGGTTACCGTGAAGATCCTATGATGCTTTATTTTCGCACCAGTAAACACAGCCCTAGCGGTGTTCCGAAGTTATGAGAACCATGTCAAGTGAACGCCATGTTTCCTCTCAAAACTGCGTAGGCGCGACGTTGACGCACCGTCTGTCACAAAGTCACATGTTCTTTCGAGGTGCACCGACGCGTGGTCCACACCACATCGAAGCATGACTCCAATGTGCACCTTCGTCTAGCCAAACTCAGGTATGGCGTCGTGTGTTAGTTATGCTATAAATACGCCTGCGAACAAATTTGCGTTTGGCTGAGCCGACAAAAACACTCGCCAAAACTTAGTGGTTTTCTTTCGTTCGCAATGCAGTCGTTATGTTCGACTTGGTAGGGGGGCGTGTGTGACTTGTTCTGTTGTGAGCAATTGTCTTGTTCACTGTTTATTCAGAAGGTAAAATTCGCGGGACCGTACTCGATCTGAACTCCGTTCAGATTCTCTACAAGTGGTAAACAAAAACAATAACATGAAGCGGCCGTGTGATCTTTTCGAGTAGCAGCAGCAGCAATAGGTAAGAAATTAAAACGACTTCATAGTATCAGCGCCTTTGTGAGTTACAGTGTTCGCATCAAGTAACGTGATAAACATTATACAGAATTGAAAACAACCAGCGAGCACTCAGACGCGGTACGCCAAGGTCTCTGGAGTGATGAGAATTCAGAAAATGATGGCGACTGTTCTCAGATTGCTTTGTTCGACACAGAAGTCAGGGTCCCTAACCTACCTAACTGCGTTGAACCCTCGAAGTGCAAAGCTTTCCTCCAAAATAGGCACGGAACGCCTCCTGCGCTGACTCTTCGAGGGGTTCAGCTAGAAGTCGTTCAGAAATTCACTGTCTAGGCAGTCATATCAGCGCCGACGGAATCGAAGACGAGGTCACGAACCGTATAGCAAAATCACGAGGCACTTTTTCTAACCTTGGGCATCTGAAGGGTAGAGTTTGCAATGCAGTCGTACGTTGTGAAGCCTGACCAAGTGGATCGGCAGACATAAAGAGGTTGATAACATTCGACCGCCTATGCCTTCGCAGTTTGCCTCATATCTGGTGGGAAAACCGTGTGAGCAATGTGTGTATTCGATGCCTTGTTCATAGCACAGGAAGAGGAATTGAGCCGCCCAGCAGCGTTCTTCCAAGCACCGGGCTCCGATGGCTGGAGGACATGTTGCGCATACTAACACACCGACCACCGCGATGTCCATTGTTTGCGCGCCGGGGATGTGGGTGGAAAAAGAGGGAGGCCAAGTAATGACTTGGTCAAGGGAAATGAAGATGCTTAGTCCCAAGATAGCCTTGGTTGGAGACTTTCGGCTCCCTGGTTTGGGTCCGAAGGACGATGGACACTTTTGGCAAGACATACTTGTTGGCATGGCTAGGAGCCGACCTCTGTGGCGTTTGTGTTGGGAGTTTCTTTGTCCCTTCCCCTCCCGCTTAGCCTCTGCATCCAACCACGGTCTCATATTCTAGACAATATAATTCTATTTTTGCGGCACAAAAGCCGGCTGTTAGCTCTGCGGAACAATGCCCATCCGTTATTTGTGGCTCAGATGGCGTGCCTTTGTTGCATTTTTATGTTTCGCGGCACAATAGTTGAGGTGTTTTCTGCTTCTAGCTAACATGTATAATTATAATGATGATGGAGGATGCAAACGGATAGACTTTCCAGAAATAGACACGTCAGCAAAACCGGAAGTGATCGCTATTTTTCGTGTTATGAGTCACAGAGAGATGGGTGGTGTGCGTTCTTCCGTTTGCAGCCGCGAAGCTATGGGACATCTATAGCTAAAATGGCTGCGACACTCAACATCCGCGACACATCGTCACATTTTTATGACTGAACGACAGTTGCGTGAGTTTATTTCACTTGTCAACCAGCCGCGACTTTGGCGTACAGGTAACGCAACTAACATTGCACCATTGCACCTGTGGATGAAAATGTCGAAAACCACGTGTGGAGAGGGCATTTCGCTGTTCGAATTACGATTAGCGCATGGTTTCTGCGCATCTCTCGTTGATCAGGCCTGGAAAATCGATGCGCCGGTGCATTCAAGGTCACACCAATTAGATGTGCCTAATAAAGTGATGAAGACATAGATAATTCTCCAGTCTTGCTTAGCACCATGTTTCATGGAATAAGGGGTTTTCCAGCTAATCGTTGTTCTTCAGACACCGAATCTCACTGTAGTTGAATTGCTCACATGGAATTAATCACAGGACAATGATAAGCTGATTTCAGCGGAATTTACGGAGGAATGGGAAATGGAGCGAAGCCACACTGTGTAAACAATTTGTAATGGTATGGCTGACTCCGGTTCAAGCTGAATGTTGAGTAGCTTACTGCTCTTCGGCCGGTGACAGAGTGAATAAAATTCGATGCTGTGTGGGTGCGAGTGACCTCGTAATATCCGTAGTTTGCACGGGGCTGGTAGTGGTCATGTGGAGTAGTGTAAGGGGTCCGAATACTGTTGGTGCGCGTGCGAATAAATCGAGAAGTCAAAGGAGAGAAAACCACGCACCATCAGTTGCCGCGGATAACCACATGTCATTTGTTGTTGCATAGAATCGAAACGGCAATAAATTTAATCGCTGCTCCTTACTAGCTAAAGTAACTACAGTCGATGACAATTTGAATGCTTGTCAAAGGGTGAACGGAGTCCGTCTGGATCAATTCAAATGCGCAGTACGTTAGAAATGTGCCCATCAGGCTACGTTAACGACCAATCGCAGAAACCGAATAGACGTAACAAGTAGAGGAAGAACTTGGCTAGCATGTTACGAGTGCATGTTCAGAAACATGGCTGAGAAGCGTAGGATGTACGCGATGCGAACTCGGGCAATTTAACCCTCTCTGGATCATACCTCAAACTCGTAAGCATCAAATCTCCGCTTCTTGTTGATCAGAGAGAAATACGTGATCAAGTACTGGCCAAAGTTGTTGTGATGTACCAAAACAAAGGCGTAATGCTTCTCTTCGGGCTGAACTCATGCCCAAATAAGACCACCAAAATAGCCCAGATGCATTTTTAACCATAAGTTTAGAATGAGAAGCGTGAATGCTAATACACAGTTTACACTGAATCCCATTAATGCCGAAGGTCACGTAGTCAAACATCAAGGTTTGTTCAAGTAGCCTAGTTAGG